AAGCTTTCGCACTGTGAAGCTCTGGTCAGTAGACGAGGCGACGAACCCAGTGACGTCACACTGCTTCCCAACTGGGTTCGTGTCGGCATCGTTTCCCCTCAAACGGATGACCTAGCCCTTCTTTTTCTTTAGCCCTGGTGTTTCTTAACCTTTTTAGCAAGTCGCACCCCACTGAATCTGAAAATATATCTCCCGCACCCCATTGAAAATTGTGTTTTAATTTTTTTAGTCTAGAAAAATACATTTTTTGCGAAACTTATTCTTTATAGAAAAACATTGTATATTTTATATAAATACAAAACAATATTATTTTTATTAATGACTAGTCTGTTGTTGTTTTTTCATTATTATACTGGCGAAGCGAGGTTCTTTTTTGAAAGACATACGCGTAAGTCACCACTTGCATTTAAGCGATTTCTGGCTTTAGATTTTATATGCAAAAGTGATGAAAATCCCATTTCGCACAAGCAGGTGGTAGCAAAGGGTAAGAGTAACTGCAGTGCTCCGTTCACCAATTCTGGATAAGGTTGTAACTGTGAACACCAGAATTGTTGCAATTCTAATTGTTCGAATTCCATTTGAACATGTCCACTTGCTCGCATTTCAATAAGTTGATCTTTTTTCAGATCACTATCATCCATCAAATTTAAGTCAAATAGAAATGGATCCAGTTTCCATCTCTGAGTTTTGGTAATATTTCCGGTAGAAAAATATCCATTGAATGATTCTCTCAATCGTCTCAAATGTATTGCAATGTCGGGTATAATTGTATTCTTTTCATTTTTTGCAATAACAGAATCAAGCAAGGGAAAGTTTGCAAAATTCCCCTTTTCTACTCGACGTATCCAAATTTCTAATTTTGCGATAAATGAAGATAATTTTTCACTAGATATTATTATATTTACACCAAATCCTTGCATTGATAGATTCAATTCATTTAAATGGCTAAATATGTCTGTTACGCAGGCCAGCCTCAGCATTGCATCATAACTCTCAAAATCTTTTACTAAATAACAATTTTGACTAGTCAGTAATTGAATAATTTCCTCATCCAATTCAAAAACTCTGTTAAGCATGTGACCCTTAGATAACCATCGTATTTCGGTGTTATATAGGAACACGGTATGATCAGCACCGATTTCTTCGCAAAATGCACGGAAAATGCGATGATTAAGTGCTCGCCGTCGGATGTATTTTACTATATTTACTGCTGTAGTTAGATGTTGTTTTAAACTTTCTGGCAATGCTTTCAACGCAAGTGCATGACGAATCAACATGTAATGCATCATTATAACTTTCGGTAATTCTCTTTTCATGTGTGAAAAAAATCCTGAATTTTTGCCTAACATTGCTGGGGCTCCATCAGTGCATATTGAGCCAATCACATTCATTGGTAATTGATATTTGGTAAAAAAATCTTTGATGCGATTGAAAATATCAATTCCTCTTGTATTCACCTCCAGTGGTTCACAAAATAGAAATTCTTCTATCACCTCTTTTTCCTTCACATACCTGACAAATATCAAAAGTTGGCTACAATTATCAACATCAGTTGACTCATCCAGTTGCATGCTTATTTTTAGTGGACTGATTTTTATATCTTCAATTACTTGCATTAAAATATCTTCACTGAGATCTTGTATTTGCGATCGTATAATATCATTCGATAATGGAATTTGTTGGAGTTTTTTATGTGCTTCCGAATCTAAAACTGTTTTAGCAATAATTAAAGCAGAAGGTTTAATCAACTCGTCAGCGATCGTGTGAGGTGTCTTTTTTTTTTTTTTTTTACATAAATATGCCACTTGATATGACGTTTCTAATAAAGGTTTTTGAATTGCTGGTCTGCACAATTTTAGGATAGTTCCACTGGTATCAAACCGAACCTTCTTTGACTTCAAGCTGTTCAATGCTATGCGCTTTTTCGCCACCATGCACATTGTTGAAATGCTCTAATAACTTTGATGGTTTGAGATTGCTGTTTGAAAATATCTTGGAACACAAGATTCATTGCAGTCGTTGCATGCCGTCTTTTTCGGTTGCGCAGGTAAATCCATAACCGGCATACTTAGCGTTCCATTGTTGTTTTTTTGACATAGTGGGCTTCACTATAATCGATTTAATTATTTAGAAATAATGTAATATAATAGATATAATGTTCTTACATTTGTAATATCACTGAATTCTATTCGGCTTGAACGGGCAATTAAAAATCTATTAGTCTCAAGAGGTTTCTGAACAAGTCAGAATACACAATACACATGTCGCAGACACAATAGTTGACTCTACCTAACACAGTCGCAGTAGATGCAGATACAAATCTGTGAATCCGTAGATTTCATTGGAGTAGCACATGTTGAACTCAGCTCATGCGCAAGCTGGGATAACGTTCTCCTCTTGTATCGTTGCTTCGTGGCTATCAAGGTTTCTTGAAGGTCACGCTTGTATTCCCACAAAGTTTTTTTTTTTTTCTTTTCGCCGTCACCTAGCTGCCTGTTCGCGTTCATTTGTAGTGTTCTATGCCTTTTCGTAGTGTAGTGTATACGCCCATCGGCACCAGCTCTTTCCTGTGTTTTTGCCGATAAGTGAGCTAAGTGCTACCAATTTTTATGAGCTTCAGTATTGGGGACACTACTGCAGATTTCAAATCTTTTATTATAAGAAATTTAATGAATGATATTTAATAATTTTTATGTTTAGGTAGGGGCTTCTCCCGCACCCCCAAAAATACATTCCCGCACCCCTTGGTCTAAGGTGTGTCTGAATGTGATAAAAATTTAAAGTATTTATGACAAATTTTAACCCTTAGGGTACATTTTATTAATGAAAGAATTAATTATTTTTATGATCAAATTTATATCAATGCATTGGCCTGTCTACTTAGATACTTTTTTTAACTGAAGTAAATGATACATTTACTTAAGTGGACTCATTTTACTTTGATAACACTCATGAAGAAGACATTGACAAAACTGAATTGAAGAATCACCATCTTTATTTTTACACATATCATATAATCTCTTTGGCAGACAAAGTATTTTTCTATCATCGTTGAACATAATGAATTTTTATGTAGGCTGATATTAAAAGTATCATGTAAGCAGGAAAGCATAAGCAGCGTGGAGATGTTTGCATGGCAGAAGTCAGGAAAAAAGGAATGTAGTTCCTTGCAAAGCCGTATTTATACTGCATAGGTACATATGTGAATCTAAGCCGCGATTGGTTAATTTTACTTTTAGTTACCTTTTTCAAGTATTGTTATGTAATTTGGAATGGTTTGGTTTATTAGATTACGGCAAAGCACTCGAGGGCTATCTGCCTTAAGGGAGAGATGCCTTCGTGGAGGACTTTTTAAGGGAAACTGGCTTGTATACACGTTCATGGGGAAAACCATGAAAACGCCCATGCAGCCAGCCCGTTCGCGGGATTCGAACCTCGTAATTTGGAATGATCTCAAATTTGGGAGAAAGGATTTATTTACGGGGAGCGCACCAAATCTAAACAGTTAATTTTGAGTTTGCCAATTATTTTTTAAAGCAGTCATTGTATTTTATTATATCTTACACATATATATATTAGTTGCAAGTAAAATAATTAAATATTTTAACTGGATATTTCCATCAGAAAAACAATGCATAAATTTGTAGTGACATGCACTCACAGGGTGCAATCAAAAATTTAGACACATACATCCACTTGAAATTAATAGTGATTGTTATTTGTCTCTAACGACATAGACACACACTTATCTTTCAACAACTAAAACATTATGTGAAAACATTAATTTAAATAACATTAATAACATTTTTGGTAGGTTGCACTTTGATTTCTTAGACCAGGGAATGATGGGTGGAACACATATTTATTCTTTGAATGTAATTTTATAGGTTGACATGGTTAATATACATAATATACAAGAAAGCAGTTCTAAAAATACCTTTTTAAAATATAAAAATTAATGATGGTATTCTTACACAAAATAAACCACTAACAAATTCTTTGGTTTACCATTCGTTGGTATGAAATTTCCTTATAATAATGTAATTTAAAATGTTAATGTGATATTTAACAGTGCATTTCTTAGGATCATTGCTCCATAAATAGGAGAGTATGATAATATTGCTACTTGTAAATAATCATCAAGATGTTTATCTCTAAGTTGACATTTGTATATTGATTCCATGATATTCACTGTTGAAAACAATATATGACATCTTTTCCTTTTTAGCATATACACAGGTCAAAATGAGAAATTGGTCAAGACCATACCTTCAAAATTGGGATAATCCCAATCACACCAGAACAACTGTTAAGCCTATTTAAAATAGCAAACTTATACACACAAAAAGGTTTAAATAAAGTTTTATTGAAAACTTAAATAAATTTTTTAATCATGCACAGCAGCAGGCATATGTAAAAGTACTGGTGGGTGCAATGGTATCTACTAGCATAGCTTTGGGGGCCCGTCTTGAATTAGCATTTTAAAAAATAAATTAGAAACACAAAACATGGAAGAGTTCAATTTTGCTCGGTTCAGTATAAAAAAATAGTATATTTAAAATAATTCTTTAAAGTGCAATTTTTTAAAAATAATTCCTTCTTTTAGTTTTCTTTAAAGTGCCTTTTTAAATATTCATAAAAGCAAGAGAGTAGCTGCTTCAAAGATTGACTAAATGACCCAGAAATCTGGAAATGGCAAATTACTTAATATTTGAAGATTTTATAAAAGGTTTAAGGCATGGCATTAAAACAGTAATTTCAGCCTTATTTGAAAAAAAGTTTGACTACAAAATATTTCTACCATTTAAATTTTAAAAAATTCAGACTTCTTAAGAAAAGTTACCATTAATGTTTAATGCATTTTGCCTCAACAGACATTCAAAGAAGAGTAAAATTATTAGTTCTCAAAGTTCACATAAGCAGATTTTTCTGTGTGAAGGACCTCTAAATCAAAGAAGCATTTTCTACCTAAAGAAATTAAAACATGAATATAATATTACCTCTATAAAATTCTGTAGTGAATTTTACCCCAGGTAAAAGCTCATTAACTTTATGTTTAATTCCTTCTGTTCCTAAATTAGCATCACTATTCCACACCTGTATTATGTCATCCTTCTCTCGGACAGTTACACTTACACCACAGACATCATCACCTATAAAATAATATAAGTCCTGAAATGGTAATTTTATATCAGACCATATGCATTTCAGTAATGCTGCTATAGAAAAATTAATAATATTAAAGGCAACTCCATAGGTGATGCTACTACTACATGCATAATTCACATTTCAACTCGGTACATACAATTCCATTGCTAGAATACATACTATATAGCAATACTTAACACATTCTATTTAATAACGATGAATGTAAACTGTTTTGTTTTCATAATAAAACATGAAAAAATAAAGCTAAGAGATGTCATTGTTAGCAACATCTCCAAACATCTAAAGTTCAATTTATTAAAAAAAATGAAAATGATATAAAAATGAAGAAGTTATTGCCCTTAAATGTTACACATTTATTTTCCAACATAGTTGCCAATGTTTTTTTTTTAATCAATTTGCACACATCTTCATCATCAACTTCTGTATCAGATAGAAAATTATTGACTTTTCATCATCAAATAATTTTGAGAACAACCAAATTTTACATTCCCAAACTTGAACTAAACAGACGATTCTCTTTGATTATCATCATGTGTTGTTGAAATACATTGTCATAATCACTGCTCAATAAAGTCACTCAGATCACCTTTACTACAGCTTCTAGCATATAAAAGCTACTGACAGATATTGCTCATATATATGAAACAATTACCATAGAGTTTTATTATACATCTATGAATTTTGATAGGTGAGTAAACTTTTAGCATCAAAAACTCTATTATGTCTGCTATTTTATGTATATTGAAGATATTATTCACAACTAATGAATTCAAACAGACAAGCAGTGAAATGAAATTAAGTTCTTTTGCACATGGGACTTGCTAGCGCCAAAAGCAAAGTGATTTTCTATACCAACTACAAATAATGCAATTTTTGCGGCTTGAACTTATGCAGAAAATTTAAATAATGATTAATATTGTTTTATTTGTTTTTTGTTTTTTTGAAATGTCAACAAAAAGATTATTCAATTTTGTTGTTCTAAGATTTTTTTATGTTTTTGCTAAGAACTTTAAAACATTATTTTCGAATAAAAAGTGTGGCTTAAAATTATTTAAAGAAACAGAGTTCTAATTATAAAGATCACTTTGGAGTCAGGAGCCTATAACTGGTGAATTGGAATTTTGATTTTACAGCGACTATGTCTGAAGACGATAAAACTGTTGAATATACTGCACACGAACAGTGTAAGGTAAGTGTTAAAATTTCTCCATTTTGGTTGGATCGTCCAGATGTCCGGTTTTTTCAAGTTGAGGCTCAGTTCAAGATAAATGGAATTGTTTCAGAAGAAACCAAATTTAACTACTTAAAGTTAGAACCCAAATTTGTTAAGAACATCTGGGATATCATAACAATTCCATATAATATAATAAAATATTCAGAATAAATAGCATAATGAAATATTCAGAATCTGCAACAAGGCTTCTGGATTTATTTAAGGAAAGTGAAAGTACTTGAATTAAAAAACTTACTACAGGAATCGATTTAGGCAACTTGAGACCCAGTGAATTATTACAAAAACTAACATCTGTTGCAACATCGGATGTGTCCGAAAAGTTTAAAAACGTTATAGTTGGAGAAATTGCCAGATTCTATGCATACTACTTGATAGTAACGAAGAATTATCCAAGTTGGTGATCATGCCTGATAAAATTTCAGATAAGACACCTTCTAATCAGATTTGTGGTGTATCACAACAGCTGGTAATTGCTCAAATACAGAACTGTGATAAATTCAATCCCTTAAACAGACAATTGCCGAAATGACTGTTCATCATATATCGAGACCATAATTTAGGAACAACTCTCAGTCCCACAGACGATCTTGCAGTACTTCTAGGAAAAGATTTAATCCTAAAGGAAAATATTGTTTTTATCATTTCCGTTTTGGAACAAATTTCATCAGGATAAATGTACTCGGCAGTGCAGTTGGTCAACTGATAGGCCATCCAATCAGGGAAACAACAACGTGTAGTAGAGGAGGCGGCAAGGTCTACTGCCGATTATGTTCCAGATTGTTGCCAGTTTTGCTTATTTATCACAAATAAAAACAATATCTGTAATAACTAGACAAACAAATTTGTGATAAATATGAAAAGTGCATTTCTTACTGGATAGTGATGCAGATGTTAACATTTTACACGTATCAACACAAGACAAACAATCTGTGGATTTCAAATTGTATGCAGCAAATGGTACCAAAATCGAAACATATGGTACAAAAATATTAACACTTGATTTGGGACTTAGGCGTGAATTCTAATTTCCGTTTATAGTAGCCAAAATTAAAAGGTATTTTAGGAGCTGATTTCCTTAACATATTTAAATTAATCATTGATCTACATGGCAAGAAACTGATTGATGGAATAACTCAACTAAAGAACTGGTGAAGTTGCTTCCATCGGTGAAAATAGTGGTATGGGTACAGTAAACCATTTGACAAAATTTCATAATCTTCTAAAACAAAACTCATAATTATGCAAACCAAATTTTTTCTCATCAGCTTTAAAACATAATGTTCAATGACATATGGTCAGCCTATACATTCTAAAGCAAGACAGTTGGATCCTCAAAATCTTGCAGTAGTTAAGCAAGAATTCCACTTCATGCTGGATAATAACATTGTAAGAGCCTCAAGTTTTCAATGGGGCAAGTCCTCTTCGTGTGGTGCTAAAAAAAAGGTGGTACTCTTCGCCCATGTGGAGATTATAGACAGCTAAACAATAGAACAGTTCCTAATAGATATCCTATTCTTAGGATAGAGGACTTCCATCATATTTTAAATGGTACAAATATTTACTCCAAAATGGATTTATTTAAAGTTTACTATAAAATGCCCATTGCCAAAGAAGACATGTAAAACTGCTATTATTACTCCTTCTGGATTACACGAATTTAATGTCATGAGCTTTGGTTTGAGAAATGCACCAGCAACATTTCAAAGATTTATAAATATAGTTCTTTCTGGTCTAAATTTCACTTTTCCCTACTTAGATGACATTCTGATAGCATCTGCTAGTGAGGAATAACACAGAATCCATTTGAAGCTAGTGTTTGAAAGATTAAATTATTATGGACCTCGCATTAATGTTTCCAAATCCATCTTTGGCACACAAGAATTAGAACTCTTGAGTTATTTAATTACTCCTCAAGGATCACAACCTTTACCTGACAAAGTCCAAACTATTGTTAATTACAAACTTCCAACAACCATTCATGAACTTAGAACATTCTCAGGCCTTATTAATTTGTATTGGCGATATTTAAAAAATACATAAAAAAAACCAATCTCTCCTACATGACTACCTTCAAAGAACGCGGAAAAAAGATAAATGGAAAATTCAGTGGACAGATGAAGCTAAGGAACAATTTCAGTTATGCAAAGATGACTTAGTCAATACAACACTCTTATTTCCAAATCATGAACTACCTCTGTCATTATATAAAGACGCTTTAGACTCCACGATTGGAGCAGTACTTCAACAATTTGAAGATAAGGGATGGAAACCTATTGCATTTTATTCCAAAAATCTAAATGAAGCATAAAAGCATTACAGTACTTACGATAGAAAGTTACTAGGAATTTACTTCTCCATCAAACATTTCAAATTTTTACTGGATGGAAGAACATTTAAAATATTCACAGATCATAAGCCCATAATCTTTGCATTTAAACAAAAGCCGGGAAAAGCACTCGTCAACTTAGACATTTACAATACATCTCTCAATTTTCAACTGATATACACCACACAGAAGATCGAGACAACATCGTTGCAGATACCTTATCTAGAATTGAAGAAATTTCTTTGATCAACTATGATAAAACTTCAGATGAACAAATTATGGATAAAGAATGCCATCTGCCAAAGGATGGATACTTTTGCACATATTTTGAGGAAAACTGCCTTGGATTCATATTACACATGGGTAAAACCACAAAAGTGCCAATGCAGTCAGTCCACTCACTAAAATCTATATCCGGAGAAGAAATGCAAGTCATAAAATGTGTGATTATTGCGAATTTTGCCCAAATTCGAAAAGAATCCCCATAAAATTTTAAGTAGCATAACATAAAGCTCTTAAAGTTGAAAAAATTAATATTAAAATCTAGAAATTTAAACAAAGAAAAAAAAAAAGTAGAACAATTTAAGAATATTTATAATTTAACTTTTGGTTTTTCAAAAATTTTCACTGTAAATGTCCATTAGAGTTGCAGACAAATCATCTTGATTTATTAAAAAAGAGTAAAAAAGCTTAAAATGTCCTCTTTTTGAAACAGAGCAAATTATAATTACCTTCATTAACACAGTCAGCAAATTGCTCTCCAATGGCAGCTAACAAAAGTTCCTTCCAGACACAAGGCTGCAAGTAAATAAAATAGATGACAGGAATTCAAATTTGACAAAATGTTTTCAAAAAGCCAGCACTTGAAAAAATGTAATTGGTGCTTGTATGCTTATACAGAAAGAAATAAAAATATTAATGCATAAAATACTGATTCAGTAGATACGTGATTACTTTTTCCTTTATACTTAAGTCTTAGCACAGGAAAGGTGAAAAAAACTACACCATTAACAAATCTGTCTAGATTTTACAGTGCAACATATTTATTCAATTTTCTGATTCATTGTGTATAACGCACAAGAATTAATGCATTGACATTTTCCCAGCCAAAATATTTAAAAAATCAATATGAAATTGATTTTATGCTATTCTGCATCCAAATAACAGGTTTAATCTATTTACATAACTAATTATTTCAAAAACATGTCTTTAAGATTTCAACTGTTGTAAAAATGCAGCATTAGCATAATTCCTTACAAACAATCGTGCTTTGCTTGTGAAATATTTCACATGCACAGAAACTTTGCACTTATATGTGGTTATTGTGTGACTGCTGCAATGCAAACATTTTTCCTTCATTTTCAAATTTTCCACAACCATATGATCTAACACATCAGTTCTAGTCACTTACTGAGTTTGTATGTCAGAGGATGATCCTGATCTACAGATGGAGGACAAAATAATAGGAATACCAGTGAAATAAAGTAAAATCTTTATTAATAGGGGGTTGGACCACCCTTTGACTGAAGAACAGATTTAATGCGATGTGGGGCAGATGCATAAAGTCATGGACAATATTTAAAGGAATATTAAGCCATTCCTCCTGCAGAGCTGTCTCTAATTCTGAAAATCTGAATGGGAACGAAGTTTGGATTCCAAATGTGCCCATAAAGCTTCAATAATATTCAAGTCCGGAGACTGAGGGGGCCAAGCGAGATGTTCAATTGCATTGTCATGCTCTTCGAACCATTCTTGAATACACCTAGTAGTGTGGATAGGCACGTTGTCGTTTTGAAAAAGCAGTCGCTATCCAGGGAATACAGTATGGACAAAAGGACAGACATGATCCCCTGGAATGCTTAGATAGTGATTGGATGTGATCCATGCAGAATAACAAGTGGCTCAAGACCGTGCCAAGATATCGCAATCTATACCATAATGGCGCCACCCCCATGCTTTAAAGTCAGCGAGAGGCAGTCAGGATGAAACACTTCTTTGGGCGTTCTTCAGGCATAAAAGCGTCCAATCATCTGAAATGGGGGGAATGACAATTCATCTGAAGCTAAGAAACAATTTTACAACAGAGCTTTAAAGTCGCTTGAAAGCATTAGCTGCTGTCACCAAGGGTTTACGCATTACCACTCTGCTATAAATGTTCGCAGCATGAAATTCCCTTTTGACAGTTTTTGTTGAAATGGGGTCCTGGAGATGACTGTTTATTTTGGATGTTATCTCGGATAAAATTGCTTCTGCTTTCAGACTACTATGTACTTCAAGACCCGTCTATCCCTATCAGCCAGCTTTGACTTTCGGCCACTGTTGTGCTTTGAAGACGCCGTCTTACCCTCTTTCGTGTATGCTGTAATAACGGTTGATGCCATACTCCTTGCACACCCCACAAGGTTTGATGTTTCCATAACCGATGCTTCACTTAAACGCACTCCAAGTATTATTCCTCTTTGGAACTCTGGCAGGTCTGACATTTCAACTTCTCACAGACAGTTTGATTGAAGCATGAAATGCAGGTGACTGCTGTTGAGAGACTGATACCTTCCTCTTCATGCTCACTAGGTGGCAGACAAGTAGCGCGGCTGTACTGCAGGTGTGAAATACATCATATTTTTTCACAGGTGTTCGCATTATTTTGTCCTCCATCTGTATATTCTGTAATATGAATTTCCCTTTCTCCAGATATTCTTAAATATATACAATTTCAAAAATAATATGGTATCTACTATCTGATATTCAATAAATGTATTCTAGGGATAAGTTGCAGTTCTGTAAAGATTCCATACATTTGACTTTTCTACAAAAATAAACTGCACAAGTAATGGCTACCCCTTTTCATTCCTTTGAATTTTATTTCATTAGCAGCAAAACAATTATGAAGGCAATCAATATCACCTGTGCTCTTATTACAAGTCACTATCAATTGCAATTGTGGAATTATGGGGATTTTTGCAACCCCATTATATTTAACATTAATTATATTTAACCATTACATTTACCATTATATATTAACAACCCAAGCAGGTGCAGAAATAGAAAACTGAAATATGTTCTTTTGGTACTTTTTAATACTTTTTAAACCTTTCAGTTGTATGTTCATCAAATTTAACCAAATACTGAAGAAACACTTCCAAGTGTTTATGTTACACATAAGTAACACCAGAAAACACACATGCAGCCACCTCCTCTGCCAGAATTCAAATCCAAGCCAAGCAATCAGGATTTAGCAGTCTTAATGATCTCTGCAGGTGATACCAAATGCAAATAATAGTAGACTTTTCTTCCTAAGGCATTTCTTAGCATATTTTTTTAACTGCAGGTTTTTCTCTTTTTCCAAATATTATTCTGAAAATACTCTCAACTTCCCACAATGCTTTCAGATAATGTTGCATTGTTGTATGGTATACAATCAATTAGAACTGTTCATTTCAAAATGGTTATTACTTTTCATCTGCAACATGATCTATTTTTCATACAAGAAGAATTATAAGAGTATGATTTATTTTATATTTGAAATCCTCATGACAAATTTGATAAGTCATTGCTTAATTCCTTGTGGTACGCAAGCACTTATTTATGAGCCAAGAATAACTTGCAACACATGGACCACTTGCAACACAATGAGTAGAGTGTTATTCATATAGTTAAACTATCTAAAAGTAGTTTCACTACGTGAATAACACTCTACTCATTTTCACAATGATTTATGCTAATGCTGCATTTTTGCAGCATTAAATAAATTGATAAAAATTATTAATAAGTAATCCAAAACAGTTTACAAGAACATGTCTGTTTCATAGAAAACAGCCACAATATTATAGCTTCTAAAAGTTATTTTGTGTTTAGTGTTGTCTGCGAAAAATGTTTTTAATTATTTTTATGAATTAACCAATTTTAAAAATATAAGAAAATATTCCTATTAACAAATACAGCCTGCAATTTTTTCCAGCATATATTGAGCTGTATTTTATCAATTTATAAAAAATTTATATGAAATACAACAGAAGATTTTTTTTTAGTAACTATAGCAAATCATCATAGAATAGCTTAAAATATATTCATTGTGAAAGAAAATAATATTCATTATCATATAATGACATCTGGAAGTTTATAATGTATACAATTTTTTTTTTTTTTTTTTTTTTTTTTTTTTTTTTTTTTTTTTGTGTGTGTGGTGTGTGTGTGGTGCTATAAGCAAAACTTGGCTCAATGCTCTTCTAAACTACTCTCAAACAGAGGTATTCATGCTTGATGGACAAAAGAAGCATATTTTTCTAATATGTGGCACTTAAAATCAGAAAGATACTAACTTTTGTAATATGTATCTCTATTTCACATATCTTCTATAATTTTGACACTAAACACTAAACACTTTCTCAAGCCTTGGACAGTCTAATACTATGCTATCACAAATAAGTTTCACCTGTGATATTTTAAGAATAAGGACTGAGCTTTGGGGGAAAAAAATGGCACAGCAGACCAGGTTTCCTAAATAACTTTTCAAGTTAAAACTAATACTGGTCACAATATCTGAAATTTAAATAAATTTATACCTAAAACTTCACAACATTGACAAAACAAACTTAAATTTTTGTAAAATATAATATATATATATATATATATATATAACTTTTCAGCATTCCACTAAACATTTGTGTTCTTATTGAGTCTATAAATTTTTATGCAGCAGTCAGGAATGCACAGCGAAGCCAAACAAACTGAAATTTTATGCAAGTTTAATAACCTAGGCAAAATTTTGTAAATTTAATGGGATCTAGGAAAATTTTATATAAGTTTAATGATGACATCTCATGCTACATATTTATCTACTTGACTAAAATATTTTAACTAATGCAGGATCATTCAATTATGTTTTGTACAAAAATTACAAAACAACTCATGTTAAGCATTGTTCTATATATCAGAAAAATTTACTAGTCATGCAGCTATAGAAATAGAGAAATTTAATATTTTTTAAAGTTTCATTTTTAAAATTCTGTAATGCTTTGTGAATTGTGTAGATGTAAAATATGAATTTTGATTGACATATAACTGTAATTGCACTTACGTTATTGCTATAGCAGAAATGTATCAATGGACTATCTGCGTCCAAGTAGATAATATGACCATTGAATACAGGTAGTTTTCCAAATTTCAGTTCCCAGTAAATGGGCAGGTTGCATGGGATTTTTATGGCTTTCCCCATGTATAACAAAAACTGTGCACGTTTCTATTTGAAAGTCCCATATTAGTCCTCTTAACAGTCATTATACGGATTGCTATATTGCTATATGTATATTAACCAAACTTTGAACTAATTCAGTGTTTCACATAGTAAGTTCAAACATTGATAAACCATACAGATTTCTGATAACTTAAAATGTATATACAAAGGAGGAAACAATTAAATTATGAAAAAAATATGACTGTTCCTTTCAGTAAAAATAAGTACTTTACTGGCATTAAATTGAACACAAACATTGCTTCACATGCTGCAGAAATAATGTACATGCTTTTTTCACATTCAGTTAGGAATGATGTTTGGATTCATTTCTGCTACTGATGATTATGTATCGAGCATTCTGCTTCACACTGATCTAGACCTATGCTAAAGTAAGTAAAAAATCTCTATTTATGAAACATATATAACATGCTATTCATATCCTTTTTATACTTACTATGGTTCTATTAAAATAACTTTACAAAACCTAAAATGAATATGGGTTACAAATTTCTCATACAATCAGTGATAAGTATTCATGACAGGTCTCTTATTTGCATTTTACTTC